CTGTTTTATCCCGAAATAATATCCTGATCATAAAATGATCTGAGATCATAATTAAAATCATCAATTATTCCAAATGATTTCACATACCTTCTTTCTGAGAATTTTTCATTGCTCTTTGAGATAACACAATTTTCCTTTAACTTTTAAAAAAATTTAAATAAAACGCCGACTAATCCATTCCCATTCCTATTTCAATCGTTACTCATTTTATTAACCACTTGTGATATTGGTGATAATAACCTCTTGTGGTAATCGGTTATAAGAGATGTATTAAATTGTAAGATATCATAATCGTAATTGAATAGACCGGCGCAATTCACAGGCGTTCCGATTATATTGAGATATTTAGAGCAACAAATAGAAAGGCGAAGCCCGCCACACTCATTATCTTTAGGGTGGATTAGCTGAGATATTATATACCCCGTCTACCGACGTAATCAATGAATGGACCAGGCGGACAATCCCTCTGTGACAAAAGCCCGACATTTTCCGGCTTTTCAGTCTCATTACCGTAATAATGCAAATGAAAAGGAATTTTGTGAGGAATTTTGTTCTGTGCCTGCCTTTCTTGCTTTTTGCGACCAGCATCTCCATTTTTCCGTCCGTCGCTCTACCAGAGAACTTAATACCGAAGAGATAAAACGTTGATTAGCTGTCCGTTCGTATGTCTTAATTAATTAACGTATCTATTATGTTACAGAAAAAGCATGCACAAGACATTTATGTAAGGCAGGAAATTATGTATGATACTTGCATAACGGAGAAAGAGAACGTAAGACTAATGTAAAGACATACAATCAATTAAATGAACATAATTAACTTAACTAATCATAATCTAATCTATTAATTATATTCATAATAATATGAAATATACTATAAAATATTGACTTTTTAATTATCTTACTTTAATAACTTTGTATGTAGAATGGTGAAAAAAAGAAATCAATTTATACCAAAAGAAACGTTATGGTTTCACATAAAAGAAAGTAAATTGTGTTGTGCAGTTGCAATAGTTGCAATTGCGGAAAGTAACACACATTGCTGCCGTAAAAAAATTATACTTTGATATACGTTCTTCAACATTTTTCTGTACTGTCTATCGTTAATTATAAAAAAAATATTCCTCATTCATGTACTTTTAATGAGTTATAAACTTCAAGCTGCAAATTAATTATAAATAATAACGCATTTCATATTTTCCAATTACATAATGCAAAAAATACAAGAAGAGTAGAAAAAAACAAGAGATATTTTTATAATAAAGCATTTAATAAAAATACTATGTAATTTAATGAAAGTACTATGTACCATTAGTTAATCAAATTAATAATTAAAACTAAAATATGTAACGAAGTAATCGATCATAAATTAAAAATTAATACTTTATAAACGATGGCCTTTTGGATTTTATCATGGCGACGATGTTTCGTTCGAATAGATAAATCTTCCCACCCGATACGAGGCATATTCGAAATAGAAAGCGACAAGCGAATGAATCGCGATTGCGAGTAATCGCGATCGTAATCGGGAGATGTCGATGCAACGCGATGTATTGTCTCGCCGTGGAAAGTTTTTATTTCAATGCGATAATAAGAAAACTTCGAAACACTACCGAGTATTCTTAGTTGCTAGACTTCATTTCAATCGTCATACCGTTCAAATATTAATAAGAAAACGGATAGGAACTGGGTCAAAATTAAAGATTTTCTTTGCAGAAAAGAGAAAAACAAAAACTCACTTTTAATTAATACTTAATTACAATTATTATATTAACAGTTACGCGATAAGATAATTAAAGATATTTTTCAATATAATATTTACACAAAAATGTCAACAAACTGCGAGATTATAAGAAAGCACAAAGAAGAGAGTGATGAAAGAAAGAAAACAATCGAGCAAATGCGTAACAGCAACTTTAGACATTGTGAGTATTAAGAAAACAACCTTTCGTTCGTAAGCAAAAAGAGAAAATATGGAACTTGAGAGAAAAGAGAAGAAAAAAATATATGACAAATATCCAACGATAGCAAATGATAAAATATAAATATATGTACGATAATGTATCGAATAACGTATTGCAAGGACAGAAAAAAATTAAAAATATTATTTAAAAATGACAACTGATGAAAATATATTTTTGCCGTTAATTGCTCGAAAGAGCAAAGAAAATAAACAAAAAAGAAACGGAAAAAAAGGGAAATAGAGAAAGAGAAAATCGACAGGTACTCGATGATAACCTGACGAAGATCTCGACATACAATATTTGTGACATAACACGCGCGGGTGACCATTGACAAGAATGATTCTCCGTCGAAAGCCGCGCGCGCGGGAAAATAAGGAAAACCGGGCAGAAAAAAAAGACAGAAAAAGAGGAGAAGGAGGAGGAAAAAAAAAGAGGAAGAATCGCGCGCACGCGGAGGAAAAGAGCCGGAGAGCGCGAACGGTGGTGTTTCTCAGACAGAGACACATAGCCCCGAGCTATGTAATTCATTACTAAAGCAATCTCACCCTGGCACCCTCTCTAGCCTGCACCCTGCCGGCAGCCCTGCCTCCGCCCCTGACCCATCAGAGCCGCTCGAGAGAGCCCGCACGTTATAATATAAAAAAAGAAGATGGGCGGTGGCGGCGGTGGCGGCGGCGGTGGTGGTAGCGAGAGGATGGGTGTACAGGACGAAGGGCGAAGAGGATGCAAAGGGGGATGAACGGGGGATACTGAGAGGCAGCGGGGGAGAGAGGGGGGAGGGAGAATGGGGAGGAGGGTAGGAGCGCCCGATTAGAATAGCGCCCCCTGACAACAAAACAAAATGAAACACAAAGCAGTGTTTTCATAATTAAAAAGATTGCGCGCGCTTCTTTCTTCCTACCGTTTCTATTCATGCCTCTTTTCATTTTTCCTTTCTCTCTCTCTCTCTCTCTCTCTCTCTCTCTCTCTCTCTCTCTCTCTCTCTCTCTCTCTCTCTCTCTCGTCTCGTCTCTACTCTCTCTCTCTCTCTCTCTCTCTCTCTCTCTCTCTCTCTCTCTCTCTCTCTCTCTCTCTCTCTCTCTCTCTCTCTCTCTCTCTCTCTCTCTCTCTCTCTCGTAA